AAGCAAATCACCCTGAAATCACAACGAAATCTCTTTGAATAAATCATGTAGAAATCACTTCTGTTGAACAAATCGCAACCAAATCACTCCGAATAAATTGCAAACAAATCATTTTAAATAAATTGCAAAAAAATCACTTTAGTTTAACAAATCACTTTCAAATCACTCCAGGTGGATACCCACTTGTACACTTGTTAATGCATGATGCTCATGTAACCATCCCTCAAATATTTGAAACACACATGCATGCATACCGGTATTTGTTGTATATTAACAATAAACTTTTGGCAAGAGTATTTTAAAATATAGACTTTTACTAGGATGTGTCATCATTAAGATGGCATCAGTATTTTAGATATACATACATATACTTGGCTCCAAATTCAGAATAATATGACATATGCATTAATTGTTGACTTTTAGAAGTTGGTAAATGTTTTCTTATCTGAAATAAATATTTGTCTAGACACTTTGAAAAAGCCAGTACTTTGCTGAAGCTTATAGCTTTACATAGATTTTGTTTTAAATATTATAATTAATTGCCACTGACTTGGTTGTTGATAGAAGAACAATAAATTGCATGTGAACATATTATATTGAATATTAACTAAATCTAAGGAGGAAATGATAGCATAAATACAGTTATACATACCTTAAAACTACATTGTATATTCTGCATGGTTATGGAGAAAACATCAGTTTCAACAAAAGAAGAGAGGTTATAATGAATCCAGAACAGCACAATCTAGCTCCTAGCTTTCATTTCAATTCAAATCTGATTAATGAAAATTGGCGGTAGAGTTTCTAATACTGACCAATCAGTAAGCCAGGCGGAAGTTAAGAAGTAAATCATTCTCAAATCACTCTGAAGAAGGACCATGAGATCAACAAATCATTTACAAATCATCCAGAAGAAAGACTAAGTTAACAAATCATCTTCAAATCACTTTGAAGAAACACTAAGTTCCAGAAATCATTTTCAAATCACCTTGAAGAATGGTTAAGTTCAACAAATCATGAAGAAATCACTGTAACAATTTCCTAAGTTTAACAAATCACTCAGAAATTGTCTGAAATGGGAAAGAAATCGCAAGCAAATCACCCTTTCATAACAAACTGTAAGCAAATCACAGTCATCATTTTAGTAGAAAGTGATTTAAGCATGATTTGTTAGATGAATCGCTTACAAATCACTGAAACAAATCACTTTTAAGTGATTTCAAAGCAATTTGTAGGCAATTTGTGAGTGATCTGTTTGAAAAAAATTTCACTTGGGGGCCCTCATCCTCCTGTGAATACAGCTAGTGTTATGAACTGTTTGCATTTAAATGGATCATATAGGGGCTATCTACAGACTGTATAATAAATCAAAGTATTTAAAGTTGTACAAATGTCGTCATTTAAAGTATTACATGTTATTAATCTTATTTTCTCTTAGAAAGATATATTCTTGAGTAACGTACTATTATTAAGGTATTTAAAGCTCAATAAAACATAATATTGAATACATGTAATTATTATATAATATACATTTCTACAAAACTTTAGAGAAATTGTACAAATTTATAGATTTTGACCTGTTTAATCAATTTCAGGACTCATCATATTGTTGCATCATATTCCTGATATGGGTGTCTAACTCTATGGAGCACATGAATGCTAAACATAGAAAAAACTTGGAATAGCCTCAATTAAACTAGCTTTCTCAATTTAATTGATTTCAATCTAAACAGCAAGCTTTTTTACTGTACCATTTTTACAGGGGAAACTAAATACATTTCAAATAAACAAATTTTTTTTTTAATAACGACAGTTCAAAGTAAATGAGTTTGAGTCTATTTCAGTATATTTTTATAATAAATTATACATACCAGTGTTTCCTTCAATGTTTTCCTCTTGTATCAATGAAATCTTCTCATCAGCTGAAATGCATGATATAAAAAAAAAATTGTGGACTGATACAATAAAAATTTTACTACATAAGAGGGGTGATCAAAAAGTTGGCGAACAAATTGAATAACTTTCATAAAACAAATAAAATGAAAGAACAAGATGTGTTTGTGAAACACTATGCGCTCGACGGCAACAAAGTTCAAAAAAATATTTTCAGAAGATAAGTCAAGGTCACAAGGTCATTGACCTTGGTGTCATTTGAAGAACTTCATTAGTGGAGTATGCACACCAAATATGAAGTCTCTATCTGTCATGGTTCAAAAGTTATGGAGAAAGTTTGTAAAATCTATTTTTAGCATAAAGGTCAAAAGGTCATGACCTTGTTGTCATTTGAAAGAACTTAATTAGTAAAGTATACCAAATATACCAAATATGAAGTCTCTACATCTCACATTTTAAAAGTTAATGCAAAAGTTCGAAAAAGCTATTTTTAGCAAATAGGTCACAAAGAAGGTCACAAGGTCATTGACCTTGGTGTCATTTGAAAGAACTTCGTTGGTGGAGTATGCATACCAAATATGAAGTCTCTATCTTTAATGGTTCAAAAGTTATGATGAGGGTTAAAGTTGACAACAGACAAACAGACAGACAAACAGACAGGACAAAAACAATATACGCCTCGGATCTATCGATCCGGGCGCATAAAAAGTGAGCATGCTCACATACCCCACGCTCCCCTAAAACTCAAAGAGCCGAAAATCCAGGAAAAAAATAAAAGAATCGGAATTCCCTGATGCACATCTACATATTGTGTCCTAAATGTCTGCAAAGTTTGAAAAAAAATTCTGTGCAGCGGTTTATTAGAGGGCACGCTGACAAAATGTTCATCTGTATATTCAAGGTATGACCAAAAATCTAAGTTGAAAAGTGCTGAAATTCCCGGAAACAATAAAGAAATCCGAATTATCTGGTAATATGCACATCTACACGTTGTGTCCTAAATATCTGCAAAGTTTGACTAAATTCTGTGCAGAGGTTTATGAGGAGTTGCGCTGACAAAAAATAAAGGGCTGAGGGGTCAAACACATTATACCTCCCACAACTTGTTGCATGGGGTATATTTAGGTTTCAGTGTTCATTATCGTGTGTATTCATTCATTCAAGATTAATATATTCAAAATATCATATTAGATATACTATAATGTTTCATGTCCTCGAATGAATTTACCTGTAAAAATTACTAGTATGTCAAATTTATATAGGAATTAACTAACCAAAACAAAAGCAACATTAGGCCATTCCCTGTACAAGATGACGATGTACAAAGGCCACGATTCATCAATTTTCAAAATGCATTTTTCTAACAACAATATTCAAAGAATTATCAGGAAACAAGTAATACTGGTACTGTGTAAGGCAATTTCTTCATATATCAGTAAGTCTCGAACGGAAACACATAGACTTATCTTAGAAGTGTGCATTGTCCAAAGCAACTAGGGCTGGGACGATACAACTTTTTCTATATCGATACGTATCACGATATTTGAGCCACGATACGATATGTATCACGATATGCTTAATTGCTTATAAAATCTGTTTTTGCATTGAAATAAACAAATTATTTCTTTGCAAATAAGAATAATTTATTCAAAATAGTTGTTTATATGTTGTAAAACAAAAATATTTTACTCAAGTGGCATTAATTATTACTTATTTCACATCTATATTTATATTTATCTTATTTACTTTATATATTAAACCCCAAATGTTAAATAAACAAAGAAAAATAGAAGTAGGATTTTGGGGGGCGATATTTCGATATTACTTCATATGTATCGATATGCGTATCGTCCTCACATGTATCACGACATATCGATATTTCGATATATCGTCCCAGCCCTAGAAGCAACTGGATTCGATAATTTGTGCAAGTTGCTTCCTTTGACGCAAAAAGAGGCTCAACATGGGGGAATCATTTCCTAAAAAAGTTTTTTTTCTCTCTCTCTATCAGTTGTCTCTCTTCCACTACTTACAGTTTATCAGTTTATTTTTACTAAATACTTCACTCTTTATTTTGTAAATTTATAAAATATACCGACGATGGAATTATCTATGACTTTAAATTTCTTTAACTTGACTGGCGAAATTGTTCAAAGAGGGGCAGCCTTTGTGTTCATCTTGACCGTGTAGGGAGAGGGATAAAATAGACATTGCCTGCTGCCCGATCCTATTCACTTTTTGTGAATAAAATTTTGTATAAATATTTTTTTAAAAAGGCCCGGTTTGTAAAATATATCCTTCTACGTCATTTAAAAGAATTGTAAACCAAAAAATTAATTTAAAGTTGGATGTAAAAAAAAAAATAGCTTTGTGAAATGTGTTCCTTAATATTCACCATAATGTAATTTTTTTGAGCCCCATTAAAACCAAACTTTTCTGCAAAAAACATCTTGACATAAGCAGGATTTCACGTGTTCGTAAATAAACAGGAATACGGTTTATTCCTATTATATTATTATTAGGAATATATTATTATATAGGAATACGGTTTATTCCTATTATATTATTATTATGCTACCATGCATTTTTTTCAGTATATTTCAAAGTACAGAAAAATTTAAACTCCCTATAGAAGCACCACTCTACCCCCTCTCCCCCGAGGCCACAATATAAACAAGAGGCCCAGGGGCCACAGCGCTCACCTGAGCACATCAGGCTTGAATTTACTCCCCCCCCCACCCCCCACCCCCTCCAGGCGTTCATCATTTGAACAAACTAGAATCTACACTACCTGAGGATGATTCCATATAAATATCACTAATCATAGCTTTGAAGTACTTGTAAAGAAGATTTTAAAAGGTTTCCCTATATATCCCTATGTAAAACTTGGGTCCGCCTTTTTGGCCCCACCCTAGCCCCGGGGGTCATGATTTGAACAAACTTAAATCTCCTCTACTGGAGAATGATTCCACATGAGTTTCATCTTTCCTGGCCCAGTGGTTCTGGAGAAGAAGATTTTTAAAGATTTTTCCTATATATTCCTATGTAAAACTTGGGTCGGCCATTTTGGCCCCACCCTAGCCCCGGGGGTCATGATTTGAACAAAC